CACTTGCGGTGTGTGGTCTGTAATCGACGCGCACCTCGTTTTTGGGGACAGAGGTTATGTACGTCCGCACAACTCTGTCTGGACGAATGATATCATTACGTTTGATTGAGCTCTGACATCAGCGAACAAGTCCAATTTTTACAGAGTGATCAGGTCCCTCAAGATGCATATTCGTGTACCACATTGATTGATCAGATGCATGGTATAATACTCTCTGAGGTCGAATTCGTCGCTCTTCTGGCGCTCAGCCTCTGGTCACCAAGTGAGTAAGAATGACGTAAAAAAACAACTCATACTGAATACATCCAACGTAGTCAAGGAACTTTAAAGGGATAACGTTCAAGTAAAAGCTACTAACGTTTGTGTAGCAACGTTGCAAATGTTTCGCCAAAATTGAATTGGGCAAGTAATTGAGGGTCTCATCCGGTAAGAGGGGGCAATGTCGTCCACAGTCTGCTCTAATGACAGTTGGGCTCAAGGAGTCCTTTAAAGTTATCAGGTCAGTCCTTATTCCTACATTATTTCTTCAGGTGTTTTGTGTAATGTATGTATTCTTGTACTAGATGACATTAACGTCTATGAAAAGTAAATTCACCTAGTGAGCAGCTCAGGACTAAGCCCAGGAGGAGGGAGGAAGTCCCCCCCCCAAAACCAAGATTGCTCACGGATGCGGGGTCTTCCCACCTTCTGAGGCTTAGTCCTAAACCTTTACAAAAGAATATTCTTTCCATGAGTTTAACGCATTACGCGCAGGGCCTCCTCTGCTGGATGAGACTCGTATTTGGATATAAATACTCCAAATATCCTTTCGTTACTGTGGTTAGATTGGAACATCGAATTCTTATCTAGGAATGCACCGCGGCCACGAAAAAGCGGAGCGAATTGCTAACAACTATCGAGCACAAATTTTCTATGGTCTGCACGAGCACTATCGGTATGATGGTTTATACCGTTTTTCTCTTTCTCATGATTTCAAAAAAAAACAGGAAATATTCCTCAAACTATATTATACAGGAGAAATAGAAAGTATGAGACTTAAGCCCTTGTTTATTCAGATGCGATATTTGGCAGGGTATGCCGTCAAACATGCTTCCGTCCTAGTTTGAGTGCTGAGCAGGAAACCACTACATAAAATTTCCCGAATAATCCTTCCTCTTCTTGTCCCCCTTACTTCGTTTGCCACGATAATCATGATTTGTCTACACGCGGGGAGAATATATGTATTCTTCTTCTTCTCCTTCTACCTAGCGTTGGTCCCGCGCAGTCGCAGGGTCCGCTGGCGTGGGAAATATCTCAAAAGTCGAAACAAAATAAAAAATGTGATTTGACATTTGTTGCATTTCTGAATTTACTCGTGAAACTAGCAGGTTGTCGTAAACAACCGAACCAGTTGACGCTTGAAGGCTACTTATCTAGCCAGCCAGCCATTGTCTTTGGGTTCGTTGCGCGATGGATCTTCTGCAGTACATCCATTGGCGGCCGCTGGCCATTCCTTGCTTCTTTGCCCACACCCTCTACGAGTTCTTTTTTTTTCAAAAGTTGTAGAGGTCTGGACGATCCAAAGTAATCTGGTAGACAGAACAAATAAATTACTTCTGCTTGATACTTCTGCCTCGAGGTTGTTTGGCGTAAAGTTTATTATGGCCAACGTTTCGACCGTCCCGTCGTTTTCAAAGGCCTAAACATGGCTCAAAGCTTGAGTTGCACACTATCCCTATCAAACGCCTCTCCCTTTAGCGTTTCTGACGTCCTGTCAGGTACGCATGGAAAACACCCAGAAGTTGAAAGATAAGCTCACATGCTTCTACCGCGTGTAGCAGAGCGCTACACACATCAGTCATTCATCAGTAGCGAGTGATGTTACTTTTCTCTCCGTAAAGAATTTGCAGACAAGCTGTTCGCTAGTTACGAACTCGCAATGTTGCATAAATGGCAAGAGATCATTGGTGATTGACACGCACTCATTTCGGTTGTTCATCTCGGGATTTCTAGCTGAAATCCAGAACGCCTCCAATGCCTTCCTCGACGAAATCTCCGTCTCATGGGCCAATATCGTGCACCTGATGTTGAAACCATTGCCATCATGCTGTTCTACTCTGTGTTTTCCTAACGGAGTCAACATTACTGCGCCGTTTACCAGCTAGATGTTCTTTGATCCGCACTGATAGAACTCTCCCAGTTTCCCCTATGTATGTTGAATTACATGCCTCACACTGAATCTGATAAATTACGCCTGCTGAAGCGCAATCTCCATTTTTCCCATTGGACATGTAATACAATTCTCTGTTGGGCACTGCCTGTCGTAGTCTGTTCCTCACAATTTGGCGTTTGATGTTATCATTCGGATGTTACTAGAATAACATCATCGCTCAATTGTGCGCGAACAATACATCGTTGTATTGCAGCAGATACTTTTTCAGAGATGAATGGTAAGCATGGAGGAAATTTATTTTGGCGTGGTGCTGTCAACGCGAATACCTTCCAACGTGATTTGCGAGCTATGTGCTTGAAGCTAATCGCTTTGGTTTCTCACCTCCGTCTACATTACTACACATGCGCAGCAGAAACAGCATGAATCAAGATGTTCTTTGAGCTTCTTTCCCAGTATCATTTTACCGCTGAACACTTTGACCTGTGTGTTGAGATAGGGGAGCCAATCGTTCTGTGTTTTTCTCGTGTGAGCCTGATGTAACTGTGACTGTTCAATCATTATGCGGAAGCACTCGTCCATTTCGGACTGTGTTAATGTCATAATGAAGTCTTTACAGGTGGGGGGGGGGGGGGCAAAAAAGACATTTTGCCCATGTCGCACTTCGGCCCCTTTTTCTTCGCAGAGATTGCCGTCGTTGACAGGAAGTTCCTCAGCAAAAATATTCCCTAAGTGTCCCTCTATAGTGTACGCAGGCTCTCCTTCACTGCCCTCACCGTCTTCAGAATATGACGTCATCTGTCACCGTCGTCAGAGCTCAGGAGGCCTACAGTAACTGCTTCAGCCTGAAGCTCTTACATAATTTCGTGGATCGATTCAACGTGGGATAGTTTCCTAGAGACATTAGCTCCCACTATGCTAAGCCCCTCGAAACTAGCATTCAGTGGAAGGTCGTTATTGTACATGGTCCTTCGAAGACTTGAGCTCGACCAGCGCACCATGTTTCCAGGACAAATTTTTCTGATACCGCCCACGTAGGTGGCCACATGAAGATTTTCTTATGAAAAAAAATGAAATGCCCTCTTCAATACTAAGTTGTAAACATTCGGTTTGAATTGGGCAGAAGTGTGATTAAATCCATCTGAACGTAGAGACAAAATGTCTTTTTTTTATTGCCCAACCCTTGTACATACCATAGTCATCTATATACCTGCAGTACATTAATGGCAAGCGTTCCAATACTGGTTCTTCAATTCTGCTCATAAAGCAGACCGCAAATATGGGAGCTAAACGTTTACCCATGACAAAATCTCCAATTCAAGAGAAATACGAACCTGGCCATCTGAAGATGTTACAAGATGCTAGAACTATGTATTACAATTGCTTCACTGAGATATGTTTCTTTCTTTTTGTTTGCTGCACACAACAATTCTTTCAGGGACGAGCAAAAAATGGACAACTACGCCAACCGGCTCGGTGATATTATGTGCTTATTCGTCGATGCCCAGGTAATGTGATATTTCGAAACAACGAAGGTTCTTATGAGGGGCTTGGAAGCTTCATAAGATGTTTTACGCTGGCGAATAATTGAATAGCTTTACTGCATACACTGCATAGGGAGGCGCTAACTTTGCAAACTAAATTCCTCGAGTTGTAAGCAATGAGTCGAGGAAATCCGGTTGAGAAATCCCATACTCGCCAACAAGCTGATACGGCCCCCAAACTCGGATCTTGAAAATTACTTCTTTCTTCGTAATTTAGGTAGACACTTCGACGAAGTCGGTATACGTAGTTCTACCCGAAACTATAAATACCGACTCCGTCAAAGGAATATTTTTAAAACTCCCGTAAATTTCCAACATTTCGCGAAATTTGAGAAGTTTTGAACAGCAATCATCGACACATCAAAATTACTCCCCCAGTCCCACTCTCCACATTTCCGAAGATAGATAGCTACCTCAAAAATTCATTTCCTTCCTCCAGAAAGGCAAAAAGACCCATTTATCGCGTAATCCTGGATGCTGGGTCACCGTAGTCTGTCAATCAGTACGCATCGGTGTGATTGCTATCTCAGGTGGACGTGCAGGAGAAATCACCGAGTTACGGGCAGCAGCACTGTCGACACGCCCACTCGTCCGTGATTGGCTACCACCACACGGGTTACTGTGTGCAGACGCGAGCCAGCCAGTCATAGACTAGTGGGCGTGCGGCAGCATATGCTGCCGACACTGCTGCGGCCCGTAACTCTGGTGGTTTCTCTGCACGTATACCTGAGATAATAACTTCATAAGAACGCTCGTTTGATTGAGAACGATCGTTTGACTAATCTGAATGAGCTCAGCAGTGATGTGTTTCCAGATGAACGCCACTCGAATCGGAGAAGACGTTGAACTTCTGAGGTTGTTCAACATGTACAAAGTCGATACCTACATCTATGAGTGTCTCAACGGACATTCGAAGAGACTGTAGCCGATTTGTCATTTTCGAGCAGAGCTCTTGACACTATTCTGTGACACATTCGGGGTTGTACGCTTGTCACATTAAAGCGGTTTTTACTACGTGTATTACACAGATTTTTGTCTTTATTCTGAGCGAAATCTCAAAGGCGCTGGTTGTAATCGAATTGGTTTGTTATTTTGCTCAAAATTTAGACAAGAAGGGCAATGGGGAATGTTAGTGGAGTGGAAAAGCAAGTATAAACACTGGATTTTTCGGAAAACGTGGAGAGCACGTCGTACGCGAGAGGGCGGAAACGCCTCCTAGACGGCGATTGATAAGGGTGGTAGCGCTGGCAGTGGTCAGGAGAAAGCCTCAGTGCCCTTTGTCCGTACTTCTGCGTCGCGACTTCTGTGCTTGGGGACCACTCTTTCTCACTCAATGAGGGACTGCTCTTTTCACCTAAGACCACTAGTTGCTCTAACCAGGAAAGGCATTCAACTTCCCATGGAACTTTGAATTGAGACCCAGATATATCGATAGAGCTTCAAACGCTGATTACAAATATGGAAACTAAAACTGCAAAATGAACCTGCCAAGGAAGTTGTGAGCAGTCAAAGTTGGCTGGAAGTAAAGCATTACATATGAACCGTGCTAGCCTCCGGGCTTTCAAAGTCGCCGTGGAGTAGTGGTAGTGCTCTCGAAATTGCACTTCAACAGGATAAAAACTATGTGCTCTCGGGTGAGTACTGAGGGCACTACTATTCTGAAGACCTGAAGTCAAGCGGCTCAAATATAACGCTTTGCTTTAGCCAAATTTGGCTGCTCACAACTTCCTTGGCAGGTTCATTTTGCAGTTTTAGTTTCCATATTTGTAATCAGCGTTTGAAGCTCTATCGATATATCTGGGTCTCAATTCAAAGTTCCATGGGAAGTTGAATGCCTTCCCTGGTAAGGTGTGTGTTTGGAGGAAATTACCTGCAGCTTTTCGACTGACGGATTTTTTAAGTCCTTGCCAGCAAATTTCGGCGATTTTGTCATTCGGAAGCCCAATCTCTGTACCAATTCGTCATTTGAAATTATGGAACTGTTTCACTTTCGAGCTCACTGCGAGCGAAAGGGTAACTGAATTCACATCAGTATTGTACAGTACAGAATTATTTTCTGCTCCCGTTTTCGTTGAAGCTCTATATTGAAACAAATTACAATTGTTCCGTCAGGATATGCCGTAGATTGTGTGCTCTTAGGAGAAACCAATTCTTCGACAATCATGCTATATACAGGATGCGCCAAAATTGCGGTAGCAAGCTAAATTGATCATAAAAACCGATGTGACGTAAAAATCCAAATGAACAGCATCGTCATACTTATGGAAGATGGAACGAAAAATGATTTCTCCCTTGGACTGACCCGTTTCTGCGTTGATACATAAGCGGAGTCTTCTTGAAAACTCTGTGTAGGAGGTGTGGTCGAGTAAGACCGAAGCTTTCTGGAATGACTGTTTAACTAATGAATGTTCTGAAAAGGAACTCAACCGGTTCTAACCTTACTGAGGACCAGAAACGCTTCGGATCGAGCCGAAATTCAGGCCCGTGAGGGTTTTCGGCCACGCCCGATCGAATAGCGTGGCCCGATTTTCAAGATGGGCAGTGCCAGCCGACATACCCAGCACCCCGCTGGAGATGAACATCTTCACTGGAAACCTTCCTTTGGGAGTAATAACATTGGATGGGGCTGAGATTTCAACACCCGAGGTTTTCGACCATTGCGCATCGAATAGCGTGGCCCTTTTTTTGAATTAGCCCCTGGCGGTGACACACCCAACACCCCCTGTAGATGCACTTCTTCATTCAAAACCCATCCATCTCACCGGCTCTTCACCTGTAGCATGCCCCATGGTTGGCCATTCCACCTATTGCAGAGTCAACCACACAATTTCCATCTATCTGTTTGTAATGAACAGTCGAAATTATGGGCACTTTCCACATTTCACACTGCACCATTTCCTTGGAAAGCCTCCTATTTTGAACTCGCCTGATTGGAATTGCAATCTGAAGATGTAAACTCCACAGAAGCAGCACAAACAACACATTATAGACACTCAGTTCAACAAAGTAAATTTTATTTATTTATTTTTTATTTTAAATTTTAAAACCTTCCCAAATGTATCGATTTCTAAAGATGGCTGCCGGATGTCGGCTTCGAAATGCTGAGCAGTTGTATTCTCCATAGCCTTGAAGGGGGTATACTTGACACTTCTTGAGACTCTGAGAAGATGTCCACAATTTCTTCCATGCGCTTACGACAGTATCAGATATTAGTGTCATATCCTTGAGGAATGCTTGCAGAAGTTCATTAGTTTCTGTACAACAAAGAACCGGCACACACATTTCATTTCAGCTCACATATAGTATCGATGACACAAATAATAAACTTACCATTTATTCCTTCTTATCTACTGAAACCTGAATTAAATGCATATCATACAAAACCGAGTAATATGTGGAATAACGATAAGGCTGTTTCGCCCTCTCAACCACAGACAGCCAGAAAAGCATCAAGTGGGCTCATCAGTGTGGTCTATTGAAAATAAACTTACCGCACATTCACACATTCACACTTATTCACACACACTCTCACACATACGCACACTTAAGTACTCTCACTGAAGCATTTAATAGCATATTCCATTTGAAAACACAAAAATGGAAAAAAGAGCACGAAGAAATGGGAAAAAATATCCGTCTCTCACACAAACACGCACTTACTAGCACACACAATATCACATTCAATATAAGAAACATAAACAGAAATGAACGAATGTGCATTTTATATGAACTGGAAAGGAAAAACGCGTGTGGAAATGTGAATAGGAAAGAGAAAAAGCATAGCTGAACAGCTGATTGCATTTTCAGCGTTGTAGACCTAAAAATATACAAAAAAATTGAAAGTTCACGCCGAAGGGGTCATCATTGGGAAAAACTCACACCACACTCACACACAGATACTCATTCACTCATAATTCAAGCCATATACACACAAACATCACACTAATGCACAAAACAATAAAAAAATACACAAAAATGAAGAATTGCGCACACAGAAACAAAAAATATACGCGAAGTTGTGAAGAGTGACCATAAGGACACACTTCAAATACTTTTTAAGTACTTTCGCAATCCGAACGCAACTCGACTTCGACAACAACTATATGTACCAAAACACCAGTTACTTACAAACAGGAACGGCTCCTTCCAAAGCAATATATCCTCAATGCAATTCGAAGTCAGGGTTACGCGAGCGATCAAACCAGGAAGCATTGTTTTCGTGTGAGGCATCGTGCATCGGACCTCAAATCATCGCGGCCGGGCGAGCGGTATTGATTGATCGCAGGTGGCAGCCGGAAAAGCTCGCAAGGCAGCCGATTATGGGTGCGGGGCTTTCGCTGTCGGCGTTTCTGCGTCCTCACCCACTTCGGCTGGTTGGCCGAACGATCGGCTGGCTGGCCGATCATTCGGCCAGCCAGCCGAATCTGCAAACCCAATTGTTGCAGATACACATCTGAGAGAAGGTCCGTCGATAGTGTCCTGACGTTGTGGGAAGCGATGTGCACCAGGTTGTGAATAACGGTCGAGGAAATCCTCGACCATAGCTCTCTACCATGCGAGAGTAGTGCCGAGAGTGAACATCCGCGCGGAGAGCACAGACGGCACGGCATGGCGAGTGTGAATGTCCGCGCGAGAGATCGTCTCTGATCGGGCAGAGAATCCTCGACGTGCCGTTGAGGAATCCTCAAGCGATATTCACCCTGATGTGCACTCTGATGCGTCCGTAGTCCTTTTTCTGCCCCTACCTCACACCGAGTTGTGGGCTATGATTTATCAGCTGTAAGCCGTCAGTATAAACGTTTTCAGATTAGTTTGGAGATGGTCGTCAATTGTGTTGTGAAATCTGTGCAGAATTACCTGGCCTCCGCGATAAAGTGATGCCTAGACGCGTTGATAGTCTAAAACGCGTTCATTGACATGATGGAGTGATCTTCGAGAGCCGAAAAGCCGCCTTTTTGCAACAAATCTTGCTTGCGTTGGCGCTATGGTAGTTCAGTGAATTGGCAGAGGTATGAAGCGCCAATACTTCGCTTTTGATTCGAGGGCCCTTTGACCTCAAGAGGATATTCCCTTCCTTTCAGTGATATGGTTAACGTCAATGTGCACTAAGACGGGAAAAAGGGCTCGCTTTGAACTACTTAATCAGCCCTACCATTTTGGTAAGATGAAATGGACACGGCTCATTCCACGCGGTCATACAGCCTCTCATACCTATGCCAATAGAAACAGAATCCAACAATTCCCGGTCCCTAGAATGGGAGATATTTCGCCTGTGGGTTTTTTCTTCTGCAGAACTTCCACCTGACTTACGCTCCTGAAGTTGTACTTTCGTGGTGTTGAAATGCCGGTCTGATGAAGGAGAACCAAGGCAAAAAACTGGTCACAGTCGATAGCGATAACAGAGGAATGGCGATACAGGCAAGTGCACGTACTGGTGGATAATACACTTCGAAAAAAGTCGCCAAAGACCAGTTATAAAGGAGTGACGCATGTCATTGAGCGCAGTTTGCTGTCCGCTTTGTTGAGAACGTCGTGGCTAGATTTTTCAATTTATCATTCTGCCATTTTGGAGCAACCTATGCTCTTGATCGATATATCGATTGCTTTTCTGAGCTATTTACATCATGTGTCGGTCTTTTCCAGGTATGATCCGTTAGTGAACAACCTACTTGGCGCTTTGCAAGTCCCCCGGTGTTCTCCTTCCGAGTCGCTTACTGCCTTTCATTACCAAGTGTACATATGTGTCCACACAACACATCGTAATCATCCAACCCAGTGACCAAACCCATCGAAAACATTTATAAGCGCTTCTTCTGGCCTGATATTGCTGTTGATCTTCGTACAAGCGATATTACTAGCTGACCGGTGAATATTACCATCGCTAAATGATTTCCAAAAAGTGATGAAAAAAAGTAAAATAGACTGCAATTCGCAGAGCAAAAGTCGACTCCTCTCAGGAGTGCTCTGTTAGACCACTGCCCCGTTGTGGTTCCCCAGCGACTGCGAACAACACCTTTCAATCACCTCACTTATCCTCCGTTCAACGACCAGCCAATCTGTGGAACACTAAAGTTCCTACAACTTGGCTTCAAAAGCAATCGATATATCAAGTTTGACGGAAGAATCAAGAACGAGCACTTCTCGTTCTCGTTGATTTCTCAGCTGATAGAAGGAAAATGCTACGAAATGTTACGAAAAAACTTCTCATCGAGCAAAGCCGGTTATCAAACCCAGAGCTATTCATATCTTACGCTAGGCTTTTCCGTGTACGTGTCTGCTAGTGAACGCACTATTGGCCACTCTAGAAATCCAACGATGTTTTCCTTCATTCCAATGATGTTTTTGAACTGTGATCGGCAATATCTGGCAATTCGTTTTCCCAAAAAGTTTTGTTCGCATCACTTTGATCTTCACTGTAGGAACGAATCAATCGGTGTACGATCAAGTCAGGGTAAGGTCTGATCGGTGAAGTAAAGTGTGTATAATAATAAGCAGCTAAACCATAATGGCCAAAGTTGTCCTCTGAATGACGTGCTTGTTGCATACTTCTCAATAACATCGTATTGATGACTGCTGATTCAGGTTTATCTTCAACATTTTCGATCACGTGTTGCACATCTTTCGGAGTAATCGTTACTTTCGTGCCGTGAACTACGATACCTAAAGCAGAAGCAAAGTCGAAGGAGCGTTGCATTTTTTCTTCTTTTGGTTGCTCATGGATACAATAGATGAATGGGAAATGTTCCTTATAGAAATGTTCAGCAACTGTTTCATTCGCTGCTAACATAAATGATTCAATCAATCGTTCTCCAACCCCGCGGCTTCTTAATTGGATATCAACAGGTTGTCCGGAGCAATGATTTTGTACTCCTGCTGATTCGGGCAACTTGCCAACTCCTTATTATAGGGCGCCATCCACTGCGGGACCCGCTGCCTCCAATCACTGTGATCCCTTTAAAATCCGTTGATGTTCACGTAATTTGATGTGAAATCAGAATTCCTCCTAGAGTGCAGAACTTTTGTCCCGCACGGCAATGTGTCTCGCATACTAGTGCCGTCTCAGAGACCCGTGGGTTCAATGGCATGCCCCACGAGTCCCCAATAGCATGCCTCAGGTCTGAACTGGTATGGTATTTGCACACGAATATCAAAGTATTAGTGGGCCAGCAGTAAAGAAAAGAGGACAAGAATCCGCGAATGAAGTTAGTTAAGGGCTTGCTCATCTCCGTAACTCCGTAATGCGGCTGTGCTAAGGCAATGAGAGGCTAGGTACGGAGAGGAGAGTTTGAGGCGAGATGACAGGGTGCCAAACAGCCTGCTGCGGATGGGGAACATTGCACTACTGCAGCTAAGTTTTCAAGACTAGCGCTTTGTCAGGTGATTTCCATGCACGAGAGTGCCACATCTGTGAATCACCTCCAGGGGTTTATCCTTTTTTACGCACAGCTGCGCACTTCGGCTTGATGGTACAGTTGGACCTAAGGGAATCGTTTACACGGCCACTGCCTTGGTTGTGCTTTCAATGTCTGTAAATCACTGTTGTTATGTTACTTCATTATTGGCTTGAGGTTTAATGCTTTTTAGTCACAGAATAACTGTTTCACTCCTTGCACTTCCACACCAGTTTCAGTGCAATTTCCAGTTGTGCTACCGCTGCTTTGAAACGCGCTGCATGTCATCTGTAATGGTAATGGTAGCGTTAGATGTTACCTCAAAATAGTCGTTCGGCACTAGTCAGCTCGAATAAGATATCCATGAGTTATATCGTCGTCTAAGTCGACGATCTTAATCCCTAATCGTCTCCTCCTGTCTAAGTCGACGATCTCTAAGTTAGTCACGCCCCTAAACCAACAAGGGGTCAAGCAGGCTCAGAGTTGGCACTCACCCTCCTTACACCGGTAACAAGACGTTGGTTTATTATTGCTCTGTAATTGCAATAAATATTATAACTTGACTATTGCATTGTTCTCAGTTGAGAAATCGGTCCGGATCCGGCACCATCACTCAGAAATTGGGTCATAAACAAGCAATCCACTGAACCACCCAACATTTTTGGTGCGAAAAGCCCATAACATCAATATAAGTGGCACACGTTACGCCGAAGAGCTCATTCAATACAAGGCATATTAGAAGAGTTTGTTCAACGTAACTGTCTTTCCCTTTGACCTATTAATATGAGTTTTCAACGACAATCTAATGTGAAGTTGTCATGTCCGCCGTCAAATGTCGATGTGACTGTCGACTGATAACAAATGTCGACTCGCCTTCGATGATGGCGCTATTTAAGCAAGGTCACCTGATAAGAAGCAGTTGGCAGCAGTCGTCTGGTTCCAGTGCTCCACTCACTCCTCCCTTCCCCTTTCCACTTTCTCGTGCATACATATAATGAAGTATAAATATTAAAGTAAATAACTGTACACCGCTACACCTACGGATAAAGGGCAGTCCAACTCTTACAATCCGATAAAGTGAATCACGTTCAACCCTCAAAGTAGTCAGATTCGTGACTGGTTGGTAATCGTGACAGGATCAAACCATAGTAGGGTTCATATCTCCAACCCCATGGTGATCTCGAGGAGATAGCCCAGAATAACGCAGAGAAGAAGACGTCAATGAAATCAAACGCGATTGATTCGGATTTTGAAGAGATCACAGTGATTGGAGGCAGTGAGTCCCGCAGCGAATAGGCGCCCTATAATAAGGAGTTGGCAAGTTGCCCGAGTCAGCAGGAGTACAAAAACATTGCTCCCAGGTTGTCCCTTAGCATCTACGAGTATTTTTGCTTCACGGTCTTCGAAGGAGATTGCGCCTCTACCAATACGCATCGTTTCGAGGATGTCATGCAATTCTTTATATCTTGAAACTTTGGGATTAATTGTTGATAACGTGCCATGACTTCTTCACCTTGCTCTTCTAAAATCTGATTGACTGCTGTATAAGTCATTCTTTTCGTCGTTTGTATCACACTCGAGAAAATCTCTGTGACACGACTTGCCCATTGTGATCGATCTCCATTTCACAACTCATCGTAAGTCTTGGGACATGCGGGTTCAATGAACAAATATCATTTGATAATATTTGAGGGATCATCGGGATCACTTGGTCTGTCAAATGAACACTCGTTCCTCCTTCATAAGCTTTTCGATCTATCCTTTTGTGACATAATATGAAACATCTGCAATATAGTCACCTAAGAAGAAATTGCCATTCGTTAATTTTTTCACTGTCACTGCATCATCCAAATCTTTTGCATCTTCACCATCGATTGTCACGATCAGTTGATCTCTCAGATCTTTTCTTCCAGTAATATAGTTCTCATTGATCGCATCTGGCACTTGGTCTGCTTCTGTAAGTACATCATCGGGAAACTTAGTTGGTTCCCATTTGATACCACGATCGATAGGATATCCATTTCAGGGTCATTTTTATGGCCAATGACTTGTTTGATGATCCCTTCCAAACTTGTTGCATAGTTCTTCTCAGGATAATGTGTCAGCTCGACCATAACGATGCTGCCGTCAACTGGCTTAATTCCTTCTGCTGCCGCATACACTTTGAAATGATTTAGTTTTTTATCTGTGGGATCACTACACCATAAAGATCTGTTTCTTTAATTTCTTCTACTGATTAAGCAACAAATTCTCCCGCCAATTGTGTAGTTGCTCGTTTGCGTATCTCGACAATTTTTTCTTCCGCTCCACTATCAAAAGCAGCATCTGGTGTTTTCGTGATGTCGATAGCTACTGTATCTCCATCCATCGCATAACGCGTTGCTTCTTTTGGGATGTAGATGTCATCTTCTTCAGGATCAATCGTCACAAAACCGAACCCGCGCTAAGTTGTTCGAAAAGTTCCTGCTATTAAGATAGGTTGAAGAGGTAATTTGACTTTTCCTTTTTTGGTAAAGACAATCACCTCTTCTCTTTCCATTTGTGCAATTGTTTGTACTAATAATTTAAAATCTTCACTTTTTCAAATCCTAAACCTTATTTCTTAATTTTTCCTTAATTTTTCCTTAATTTCTTCCATAGAAAAACTTTTTTGCGACTACTTTCGATAAAGGAAATGATTTTTCTTTTAATGTTTCTTTTGTCATACTGATTCCTCATTCCGAGGCAAATTGTCTAGAAATGCTAATACATCTTTTTCTAAAGCTCTTCTTGAGCTTCGTAAACACCGTAAGGATCGATCATTTCATCTTTTCCTGCTTGCGCTAAAAAAAATTGGACACTGGATCTTGGAAAGATTGTCTTCAGTAATTGTTGCTTGTTCCTTTATTTCAACTAATTGATTTTGGACAAGTGGACGATAAGCAACTGCTTTTTTTTCGATTCGATCATCCGTTTCTCCTGCTATTTTTAATACATATCTAACATATTTTTCGAGGTTTTCTGGTACATGGTCTTTCACTGGAGAGATAGGTGAACAGAAGAAACCACCACCTATCAACTGCAATTCTTCTAAAGTTCTGATCGCAAAAATGCCACCCATCGATAAACCAAACACAGCAATTAGGAGGAGAGATAGATAAAAAGACTAAATGGTTTGGGCTTGTTTCAGGTGTATGTGCGAGAATCCTTTTCTTATCTGGACAATTTGTATCAGCAGACGCGGCTGATGAGATGGTCGACGTGAACGGGAAAAAGGTACTCGTAGGCTATTGGCACAACTGGGCTTCTAAAAATGATGGTTATCAGAAAGGAACTTCTTCCTCGATTTCGTTATCAGAAGTAAGCGAAGCATATAATGTGGTTGCTGTTTCGTTTATGAAGAGTGATGGGACCACACGTATTCCTACCTTTAAGCCGTACAATAAATCAAATAGGGCATTTCGAGCAGAAGTCTCGACCTTGAATGCTCAAGGCCGAACAGTCCTCATCTCATTAGGCGGTGCGGATGCACACATCGTGTTGGAAAGAGGGGATGAGCAAGCACTTGCAGATGAAATCATCCGATTAGTCGAAACTTATGGGTTTGATGGTTTAGATATCGATCTGGAACAAAGCGCGATCACAGCAGGTGACAACCAAACCGTCATCCCCGCTGCTTTGAAGTTAGTAAAAGATCAGTATCGTGAACAAGGAAAGAATTTCGTGATTTCAATGGCCCCAGAGTTCCCTTATTTGAAAAAATCGGCTTATCAAACATATATCAAGTCATTAGAAGGATACTATGATTTTATTGCCCCTCAATATTACAACCAAGGTGAGGATGGTGTCTGGGTAGATGAGATAAATAAATGGGTTGCTCAAAACAATGATCGATTGAAGTATGAGTTTCTCTATTATTTAACTAATTCATTGATCCATGGAAAGGGAGGGTTCTTGAAGATACCTAATGATAAATTAGTCATCGGTCTTCCAGCAAATAAAGATGCCGCTGGTAGTGGTTATGTAAAAGACCCAAAAGCTGTTTACCGCACATTCAACCGACTGGCACTAGACGGTAAACCCATCAAAGGCCTAATGACATGGTCAGCGAACTGGGATACAGGAAAAGATGCAAAAGGTGTCCCTTATGAGAATGAATTTGTTACTCGATACCAACAGGCGATCCAACCTTAAAAATCCATGCTTACAAATAGGTTACTAGCATAAAAAATAGATCTATTTTCAGTGTTGAGAATTCCTAATGTGTATTAAGCTCCGTCCTTTTTAAGTAGCAGCTCCTTGTGATGACTGTTGCTGTAATATTATGATACTATGATAATGCACTGATCTTGTACTGAGTTGCATGATTCAGTTTCAAAGGTGGAGGCTTTCAAACTAAAAAAAAAGCAGAATGCGCTCTTTGTTCTAACATGACATGTTCTAGAAACAACTATGACTGCTCTTGAAATTCAATTTACGAACACTCCACTTTTTCATGGATTTGGAATTAATCTACGACGATGCTAAGTATAGTCTATTACAATTACTATGAGCTGAATGAATTAATTGTCTTCGTAAGCACCCCCGTGCCTACACCTGAGGTCCGTAATTAGGTTAAAGAGGTGCCACAGCACCAGCCCTTGTGTAGCGGTCTCGGCGTGGTTATCTTCAGGGCTAATTAATTCATACGCTCATGGCGTATTATTACGAATGCTTTTTCTCGTCACACTTAATCAGCATTTTTCAAAATTTTACTTAAACAAAGCATGTCTTGTTATGAGCAAATGGTGTCGAATATTCTTGAACAGCCAACAAGCCTCCTACTGGATCAGCTGAGTGCCTCATGTTCTGTGGTGCCTATTAACCTATATGTTCGTGTAATTATTTATACATCGCCTACAACAATATTGTTGTGCGCACGTATTGTGCAAA